TCGATTCCAACCGTTTTGCATCGTAAATTAATAATTTCTTCTAAAGAATTAATACACAGTTTTTTCCCTAAGCCTTTTACTTTTTGAGATTTATATATGGTATACCTATCTCTGTGGGGACCCGTCAAATTGGCGGGTACGCTTATTTCGAAAATAATTCTTATATTTTTACTTCGTTCGTTACATTATTCATCCAGTAAGAAATACAGTGTGATTTAATGAAGATGCGAAATTGGTGGTTACATGTTACCCTCACGCACAAGCTAGAACCTATGAACTAGTGAACCTTTCGGCTACCGCCCGATGTGAAGGCTGTAGGAAGGCTGTAGAAAAGTTCGCTAATACCATAGGTACTAGCCTGGACCTCCGAAAATGAAAGGATTCCTCCGAAGAAAATGATTGTGAATTAGGCGAAAGCGAACCTGACAATGAAACTACATAATGTTTTGAAAGTAGAGGGACAGAATTATCTTCAAATAGTGAAAAGGAAAATTTATTTACAGTGCGTCGGAGCAAGAAAAAAATGCGTATTCTTTCTACCTCTGACTTCGAAGATGAAAGGATGAGCTTTCCCAGTACATCCCAAAATGTAGCGGGTGATATCGAAATTGGAGCTGACGGGGGACATAGTGGACAAAACTGAAATTAGGCGAATGTAGAGGTAGGGCGCCCATCCGTATGATTTTCAAGGATAACGGAGGGTCTACTTCCCATGCTAAAAGAAATATATTGGTCGGGTTGCATGTTTAGCGCTTTCGATTTGATAATTGACAAACATAAAATGCAACATATAAAAGATTGCACTGAAGTCGAGGCACGTCGCGTCTTGAAAACAGACTAGACAATCACAATTGCGAAATTACGTAGTTTTATAGGAGTTCTGTATGCTCAGGGCGCATATGTTGCGAGATCGTACAGGTGTACAAATAGAAAATAATCATAAACGTCTTCCAGAAATTATATCATATTATAATATAACGAAGTTCGGAATGGACGTCGTTGACCAGATGGCACGCAAATATAGTGTAAAAGCAGGCAATTTCCGATGGCCTTTTCGAATCTTTTTCAATATATTAGATTTGGCAGCAATAAACGCGTGGATACTATATAAATCGTGCACCAGAGCCACAATATCCAGAAAACAATACATGTTTTGTTTGGCCGAGAAATAAGGTGCGGAAAAGAAAAACATTTGCCTACGATCAGACGCTTCTTCATCATGTATAATACTACAAGAGCGAAAAAGTTTTTAAGTAGGCTACTGCAACAAAAGTAAAAGCAGCAATTGTTTCATATCTTGCAAAAAAGTGGTATTTTCATTCACCCGTCAATTTGATGGGTGCCGTAGAGATAGGTATGTAAGGACAGTAGTTTTAGCTATATTGAATTTAGCACGTAAATAGGTAGATAAGTTAGACCTCTGTATTAAGATAGGTTAAGGAATAAAACAGGTGACGTCAGTGCTACAAAGAAAGCAGGAGTGAAAAGATACAGAGATTAAGAGATATATGTAAGAAAATTAATCAAGAAACAACGGTGTGGATATTAGCATTGAATGTTGTTTCTTTGTTATTACAGAGAAACAATTCTACCTAATATCTACCCATAACCTGCACAATAAATAAAACATTATATATATATTTTCTATTTCGATCGTTTTATGTTCTCAAAAGATACACAATGTTGAAACACGTAGCATATGATTTATTTAAAATCAGCGTCGTCAGATGGGAGAAAGTGCAAAAAACAGCGCCACCCCACGGCGGAGCCACTAAATAGAGGCCCAACGCAAACGTGTCAATTGCTATACCGCGGCAATGGTTCGTGTACTACCGGGGGCTCAGCCCGCCTGATGGGATCGAGCACGAAAAACAAGCCCGCCCCAAGGTGCGACCAGTGAATTCAGGCCCCGTCGCGAACGTGTTAAAAACCACTCGTAGATTGGTTGTTTTGCTGTCTGGTTTGAGTACTCTATGATTTCACTGGTAGTATGTTAGTCGAGGCTGAGTCCTTGCCCGTGAACTATTGGATGGGACCCTGAACCCTCCAGATGGTCGTAAGCATCTGGTGCAAAGGTCATCCTCACCAGCAGTCTCACAAGTGTTCTCGCGTTGACTTCGCTGAGTTGCCTGAGATGCTAATCATGTGACCAAGCTCTTCATATACTAGCTCTTCATATTCTTCATATGAGGTATATAGTTGACGATACTGTGTGTGTTCATCTCGCTGGAGCCTCTTGAGTAGTCGTTGTAGACAGTGATGAGCTGCTGAGTATGAGTTACCCAGTAAGCTGGGTTATGATTTGAGCGAAAGCCGCACAACATATCGTCCGGAGACGTCTTGAGTGTGCGTGGTGCGGAAATGGTCTTCACACTCCCTTTCTTCTGGAGTTAGAGCACTTAGAGTGTCCGATGATATCTCCTCCTGTATCCAGAATTTAGTGAGTAGGTCCTGCTGCTCTGTTTCATCAACGTGAGTGGTGATGGGGTGTGCCTGATGTGATGAAGAGGGCGTCGAGTGTACTAGATCGAGAACCAACCTCCCAAAAATGGAGCTTTGAGCGATTGGCATTAACCTGGAACCTTTGATGATGTTGGGCTTGACGATTTGCCTGTATGAATCAGCTCCTAAAATGAAGCTCCTAAAATGATATCAATGGAGCGAGGTGCGTGGAAATGAGGATCGACCAGATTCAGATCTGAGAGATGAGACTACTTTTGATTATGAGATTGGAACGAAGGTAGTATGGAGGAAACAGTCTTGAGAATATGAGCTTGTACGGTGACCTTTGAGCTCGTGTAGATGGATCTTACGGTGAGATGAACCATATCGTGGGTCTGTGTTTTTCTTTTTGAGCGCTTTCGTTTGATGTTCAGCTGACTGATGAGCTGCTCGGAGACGAACGTGAGCTCCGAGCCAGGGTCAATGAATAGACGAGCCTGATAAGTTAATACTGGTGTAAAAACCTTGGCAATTGCTGTGGTTTTGATGAGTTGACGATTGCACCTGAGTCCTAGTGTGAGGATAGAGTTGTTGCCGGCCGCTCTGATGATGCTGCAGTTGTAGGCTGAGGACGTGCCGGGGTCGTGGAGCATGGAGTGATGTATGGCTCCACATAGTTTACATCGGAGATTCGTCCTGCATAAGTTTGCGTTGTGTCTGCCTAAACAGTTGTGGCATAGCCAGGCGTCCGTGACGATGCTACGTCGTGCAGTGATGTTGAGTGCACGGAATTGAGGATACGTCACGATGAAATGTTTCCCGTGACAACAGTCGCAGTAAAAGAGTCTGGTTTTCGTTTGTGAGCTCTCCTGCTGAGTGGCGGCCTGGTGAGCGGATGTCGGCTTCCTCGGTAGTTGCGACCGAGAGATGGCTGCCTGAGTCCTTGACGTCGATGATCGGGCGGGGGCTGCCTCGCTCTGTCCGCGTCTGCGAGTTGATAAACTCCTCCACTCGCTTGAAGATGGGATACTCGAGGGATGACCTCAGCAAGGTCTCCTAGCTTTCCCGAGTCGTGCGATCCAATTGACGCACTACATGGTGCGCCAGGATGATGTCTCCCAGATTCTCCCCCACTTCCAATGATTCCAAAGCCTTCCTGACTTCTGACACAGTTGGTATGAGTTGGTTGGTCCTGCTGCAGACCTTGATAAGAGTGGGGTAATTCGGCACAACCGGTCGAGTTGAGCCTAGATGAGCAGCCGCTTGTTTTCATAGCGGGCGTTGAGCAAATCCCACGACGGCTGAAGAGAGGCGCCCGCCAATGCAAAGTTCGCGATGAGTTGAGCTGGAGCACCTTGTGCACGCAGCTCCGCAAGTAATGCAGCCGTTCAAAGTCCGAGATGCGATCATTCCGGAGGATGAGTGATTCAAACATCGCCTTGAATCCTGGCCAATCGTTGTATTCTCCGAAGAAGCCCTTCAACTGGATATCCGTTAACTTTGACTCAATGCGTTGTTCCGGTGGTAGTGGTGGGGGCTCGACCGCTAATGCACGTCGCACCTTGTTGAGTGCTAACCTGAGTTTTCTGTACATTTTCGCCTCCTGTTGGTGTACTTTCTCGGTTAAATAAGCGTGGTTGAGAAACGCCGCCGGCCAGTTGAGTTCAGAATACTTGTGAGTGCTTGTAAATTCTGTATGGATGCGTTCAAGGTGTTCCTGATCCGTCTCCACATCACCGAGTGTGGTTGCGTTTGCGGTGGGCAATTCCTCCTCCATTGAGATCAGGAACTTTAGGCGGTTGAATTGACTTTGGTATTTGAGGATAAGCTCTGTCGGCAGCCGTGATGGTGAGTTTCGCCTCGTTGTCTTCATGAAGCTAGTCTCTTCGACGATCGATAAGTGAATGCGCTCGGCGCTCTCCCCACCACTCGGTGGGAGGAGCTTAATTAGCGACACCTGCGGTGACGAGATGAGTGAGTCTCTGGCCACCACACCAAAGTTTGACGTTTAGACACTTCTACTGTCACGTCTCTGGCAGTGAAACAAAATAGCAAAAAAAAAACCCTATGTACCTGAATAACTCACATTACTCGCTCTCTTTCTTCTCGACCATCTAACGAGACACACGCGCTCTCTCAACGTAGCGGTAACAAGGCGAACACGTGTTCCTACTTTTGTTCCTACTTTTGTCAAAAGATTACTATTAAGTTGGTGTTAAATTTTTATAAGTTGTTGTTAGTTACTTAACACTTTACCGATCGCTAGCGGTTCGAACATACTATGCCCTTTTCACCGCCCACTCAGCCGCAGATCATCCGAGACACCGGCTCGGTTTCGGCCTAGGCTAACGCGCGGGAATATATGCGCTTTTCTTAAGCTCTGGTAAAATTGTACGCTTCGTGTTGTTGTAGGGTAATGAAATTTAATAAGATCTTTTACTTTAATCATATTAGTGTTAAACAATATTTATTTTATCTATTACAATCGTTTTCAGTTTTTTATTTACATAAAATATAACATAATCTATATAACAATATTTGTCGAAAAAAGAAGTTGTTTAATATTTTTTTAAACTATGATACCGCTCGAAACAGTCACCTTTGTGTAGTGGGACGTTGCAGTATTTACAAGCGAAACCTGTTCTGCTTCGTTTTTTTTTACTTGCACAAACTCTGCATTGYCGTAGGGGTTTTTTACATCGACCGCTGGTCACTATATTTACAAGTTTATGCTTTCCGAAATTTGCCAGTCTTCCGGGATGATCAAATCGGGATGTGGTTCTTGTGGGTTCGGAATTAGGTAGATCCTTATTTTRTTCTTTAGTTTCGCAGTCTTCTATCAATGAWAGTGCTGCTTTGTGCAGAAAATTTTTATATGTTATCTTATGTCCGTTCAGAGTTTTATATACTTTRAAGGAATTAAAAAGTGCGCAGTTGATGAAGAACATTACGACACGTTTCGTCCATTTTTTTGTTTTCCTAAAAATGGAGTAATAGGACAGATATTGATCTGCGCRATTTACGCCCTTCATATATTTGTTATAATCTATAATTGAAAGAGGCTTCTGTATGGGGCAATCTGATGTCCTGCTTCTTTTTCTAGATTCCGCCATTTRTGCAGAATGTATTGTCGAAATCATGTGTACGTTCCTTTGGCCATTATTCCATACTTGCAATAAAATATGGYCATTTCTTAGAAATTGATGTTGGCCTCTTGAAAGTTTGGCAGTTTGAAGTGTTTGAGCAAGACCTCTGTTCTTTCGAATCGTCCCGCACACTCACAATTTATTTTTAAAAAAAATTTTAGCCATGTTGACACTATTATAGTAATTATCCTGGTRTATATGGTGCCACATGTTCTTGTACGGTCCAACGACCGATAATACAGTCTCTTCTAATATTTTTCCATCAGCGGCATACACACAAAAGTTGGATACGTATCCTGTACGAGCTTCAGACAGCACTCTTATCAGTATTCCGTATTTAGTGGTCTTTGCGGGATTGTATGTTCTGATTGATAGTCTATCTCTCCACGGAATTAAACATTCATCTAGAGACAATTGTTGATCGGGTTTATATACGTTGTTAAATTTTTCTTTGAAATAATCGATGACAGGCTGGACCTTCACCAGCCTATGCAAATTGGGAGAAATATCGTTGTTGTTACAAAAATGCCAACTTTGCATTATTTGTAAAAATCTGTTTCTGCTCATAACYTTCGAGAAAAACGGCGTTTCTATGGATTGGTCTGTAGACCAATAATCGTAGAGAACGTCCTTYTTTACTTGTCCCATGAGAACGATCAGGCCCAAAAATWTCTTCATTTCWGTCACCGTGACGTCTTTCCATTTTTTCGTTTTGGATGTAATTCTATATTTTKCTACAATTTGATAATGATACCTATTAGACTCCCTCACGAAGTGCTCAATCAGGTCACTTCCAATGAATAAATTCGCAATATCTATAACGCTTTTAGAGGAACTTGGSATAATTTTTACGCCAGRGCTGCCTTCGAWAGGTTCCAAAATTATATTWTTGTCGTTCGTTGACCATGTACCAYTGTTGTCTTCAACATTATCAYTTATGCCCTCGTCTTCTGAATCACTGTATATTASCGGTACAGGACGTCGCTTTCGAATTGCTATACTACTGCTATCACTTTCGTCATCAGTACTACTTGCTGAACAGCAGTCAAGACAATCTGACAGGTCGTCGAGATAAAACTCACCGACAYTATCCTTTTTATTCATTTTTAAGYTTTAGAGCTTAGAGAAAAGCACCGATTATCTGAAAAAAATGCGAAATGCTTGCTGTTTGCTACTTGTCAGTCTAGTCTAATCAAATCTAACAGAAAGATCAAGGTCGATTAATCGATGACCGGTCGGTAACCGCGATGGAGCAAAAGTTGAATAATCGACGACCGGTCGGTAAGCGCTGTGGAGCAGAACGTCGATTAATCGACGGCCGGTCGGTAAAGTGTTAAAAATAAAAAAATACTTATATAACGTTGTTCACTTCTTTCGCTAAATTATTTAACATAGTTTAGCACGCTATAAGTTCCCTTCTTCCACTCTATTTAGCTATCCTTTCTTAGAAGATGCTTCCGCCATTGTTGAAATGATTGAGAACCACTCTGAGAGTAAAGCGTCACGCAAAGAGTTCAGCGCTACGCTAAACGGATCCCACAAATGAGTGTCACTGGTCCCGTGAAYGTTAACAAAGGAATCCGTGTGTGATTAAAATTTAGACGAACGCACTAATCACGCCCTTACACGTCCACTAACTCTGAATTTGTAGCGAATCCGGCTCGAAGGACCGCAATGTGTAAAATTTATATATACGTGCGAGATATTACTATTTATATTTCGTCACCGTTATTAATTATTTAAATCGGCTTCTGTTACAGTTAAGACGCGTAGGCGTATTAGACTTAGAGAGACTCGGTAACGCTGATAACGCGACAGAAGAGATAGAATGGTTAGGAGTTGGCTAAGCAGAGACGGTCAGGGTTCGAATTGCCAAACCAGTATAATAAGACCCTAAAACAAGAAGTGAATATTAGCTGTAAATGTTGTTTCTCTTATTTGCAGGTAATGTAACTAATGTACATAGTGTAGTTTTAAGTGTAATTTGTATTAAACAATGTAAAGCAATGCAGATAATGTAAGTTAATGTAAATAATATTAATAAAATAATCGACTCTTATTTGCAGAAACTCAAGGCAGTTATATTTCATAAAATATAAATCCTCATAAGATCAATATAAATTATACCTTATATATATACAATATAAAATGAACAGCAGACGAACGACGAGAACAAAAGAGTGCATTCGTCGAATAGGTTCTGTTTTAGAAGACGTCGCCGCCTTATCGCTAATCGCGCCGAAGCTTCTGGAGCATTCCCGAACCGGTGGGAAGGAGAAGAAATTCGAAAGTTTGAGATCGGGAATGGTCAAGAAGTTTCGAGAAAGAAAATAGGAATGTGGAGAGGAGGCGATGTATAAATAACGGCAGAAAAGACCGTGAGAGCTTTATTAACAAAAGAGTTTTTTCGGAGAGTATAAAGTGAGATATAAGTTACACCGCAGTGGAATTTGTATTTTGTTTTGTGTGTTCTTGTGAAATGTTCAAATATAGTATCTATGTTATCGTGGTAAAGTATTTCATCCTAACGCGAAGCCAATTTTAAGAGAAAAGTTTTTAAAGTTTTAATTTTTCTTGTATACATGTTTATATCATCTTAAATGCGACTGTTTATTAAGTGGCGCGCTAGCATTAGTAGTAGCGTTCTCGTTTCTCGTGCTGCTAGTTAGTGTGTTCGACCCTGCATGGGTGGAGTTTTTTTTAATTATTTGTTTCTATCTGTTTTCAAATTTTTTTTTCATATTTCTTAACTTTTAAATATATATAGAAAAGAGAAAATTATTTATTACAAAAAAATTAGAAATAATCAATTTTTTAACATCTTGCGCAAATAATAAAGAAAAATTTAATCTTTGAATTACAGTTAACATTTTATTTTTTAACAGGTATATTATACATGAAATAGTTAATGATTAGAATATATACGATTGTTATTTGTTAGTATATTAAGGATTTATCTATTTTCATTAACTGTAATTTAAGTAATCAATTTTACTTTATAATTTGCGCAAGATGTTAACAAATTTATTATTAATTAATAATTAATAATTATT